CAAATTTTGAGACATGTATCCCACCGAAAACTGTCACCCACTGCTTCACAAGCAATATGTGTAACAGCATCATAATTTTACAATCCTATACTGTAACACCACTTAGGAGCCATAACCTATAAACCTACTACACAAAATAGCCAGTCTCTCCTACATATATAGTGTGATCAGTTCATTACTTTAAAATGTTTCTCACTACAGGCTTACATAAAATTTAACTACTCAGAATGTAAGAAATGCACTCTGACAAATATTAAATCCTTGACTTGTATACATCTTACAAAACTGCATCTATCAAGTAATTGGCTTGTTGTACTAGCCGAGAAAACATGACTGCTTACTATGTATTTCTCTCAAAAAACTTTACAGTGCAAGATTCCATATACAAGTAGAACAGCAACCAATGGCAGTGACAGCTTTACGAGCGGAATAATCCAAGGGATACTTGTCTACAATCAATTTAGAGTTGATAGAAAAAGGTAGGTATCCGCTAACACAGCCAGAGGAGAAAGGCCTGTGACTACACAGGACACGTATCTCAGCAGCACGTCAGCCTGGACTTTGATCAGGTGAAACTTAACTCCGCCTCTCATGATACACTCATATATGAGGTTATGCCATTCTGGTATATATAGATGTCGCAGGGTACGACACCAACCAAGCAATCATCTACAATGTTCTGACTTGCTTTGCTAAACTTTCAACAATGGCAAGACAAACACTCTCCAAAAACCGAGTGTCACCTGTTGCTATAAAACAAGTGGTAGGAAAGCTTGTGCTTGCAAGCACAAAAGCACCAAGATAACGGAATTCGTGAATGTACTGAATTATCAAGGTTTGTGCCTAAAAGTTTGGCAGCTAATGGAAAAAAGATTCACCTGATTTAAGAACTAAGACTATCAACTTGTCCTATAGCACTTAAGATTATTAAGGGAGTATTATTTTCCAGTTTAATCTCAATTATTCTGCTTTCATGTATGCAGCCAGAAGAGATGAAAAGGCTTGTTAAAAATAACATACACAGCAAGATGGTTGTAAACTTCTCTTAGGACAGTTTATACTTCAGATCATCTTTCCAACTTCCTTTTTCTTCTAAACATGCAGAACTGAATGTTGATGCCTGTATTTTTTAAATCTTTTTTCAACTTTGTGAAAAACGAATAGAATATTTTGCTTCAGCAAACTCAAAACAGTTCTAAGCGGAGTTAGAAAGATCAGAAGTGTTATATCAGACAAAGCTGAAGCTACACGAATCTTCAGTGAGTTTCTCTACTTTCTGTTCTCAAACTAACTCTGATGAAAAATGCATGATGTAAAATTAAAAGGCACAATCTACAATTACCATCTAATTGCAGCAGGCATAGAAAGTGTAATAGCAGCACAAGACATTCTAGATTGTTTTAAATTCTGCAGTATTATTATACTGAACAAATTGTATTAATTTTTAAATTAATTTCTATCAAAAGAATAGCTGTACAAGTAAAAATGTGATGAGTATTCTCACTTTCAAATAATGGAACAACAAGTATTTAATGTTCTTTTTTAATTTTCAATAACTTCAGCATAACTGTAGTTAAAGATCTTTGGCTGTCTAACATTGGGTCCATTCCAATAGCTACAGTCCATTAACTATTTTGTACAGTAAGAAGTTTTCCTGTCTGAAAAAATCTCAATCATTATCAAAGTAAAACTGATGAAAATAATTAAATCCACTAGTAATTGTTTCCTCAAAGCTTACAAAAGCCAGTATGAGACATTGTCTTGTCAAACAAAATTTTTACCTTGACTATTATATATGAGAGCTACCAAAACCCCTCGCCACCTAACTCCTAGACTAAAACCAACCAGTCTCAGTAAGGCCAGTATTCCCTCCCCGTCTCTTACCCCACCTTCTTCCTCTCTGGTTCAACTATACACTGTAAAAAGCTCAAACAGAACAAACTCATCTTGAACTTTAAATTCTACAAAGCAATCAAAGAATAAAAGTGAGAATTAAAACTAAAACCCCTCTTAGAACTGTAATCAGACAAAAGACAGATCCAAAAGACTTCTTTTCAGTAACTGCTGCACTTCTCTATTGCTGTTCATATTATACATACTGCTAATTTAAAGAGGCTTCTACATTGTTTGCTTCTGTCATTCCCCCATCAATACATTCCTCACAACAGTTTGACAGCTACCACTTCACAACCAGTTTCTGAAGGAAACATTAAACATCTGTCCAATTAGATATACTCAATTTATACAATTTATTGCATACCCCAAAATAATAACCAAACCAAGCAGCTTTGTAACTATCTGTTTCCTGTCTGTTTCATTTCAAAGTCCAGTGGAAAAAAGCAAGAAAAAGTTTAAATACTGTAAAGTTGCTTTGCTTTGGTTTTGGTCTTCATTGTGGTGTGAAACGCCCCACAACGCAACACACTCTCCACAGGCCTTCAAACTTCTTTCCCTTCTCTTCCTAGTTACAAAGCAAAGCACAAAACTGACGGCAGTGAGATTGAAGTAAATCTTGAAAGGTTCTGAGGTATACAACAGAAAAGTTGGAGCACCAGGAGGTTTTATTCACCCTACTTTTCACCGCCTGGGTTGTATCCCAGATGCTCCTCGCACAGTACCAACCCCTGGGTTTCTCGCCACCGCCACTTTTCCTGGAATCCACTTCCTCTTCACCCTTCACCCCAAGTATGTTCACAGAGACCAACAGCCTCGATGCTGCTGTTCCTAACTGCGGGCTCTGCCACTCTGCTTCCCGGCAGGGAACGTGGGTGCTGCTCCCTCTGCAGTACTGTACGCGCAGCAATAAACAGGCGCACGTTTCCCTAGTAGCTACTATAGCACGTGTCTTCTGGGTACCGAGATAACTGATAGGACTAGCTGCTTGGGCTGCGCCCTCTTCCCTCTCTCTGACGGAAAAAATACAAAACGTTTATCAAAACCAACCAAATGCACCTCCTGCATCGTTCAGTTCATCAAGCTGATCTCAAACACACAGCCACCTACATGTTTTGTTAATGTCACACCACAGTTTTACAGAGAAAGCTTCACTAGTTACACGCTGCATAAACAGAAGCAGAAGTCGTAATGGACAAGCAATCTCCTGAAACAAGACCAAAGATCAAATGTGTTAAACCCTTACCTCTACACTAATGACATAAAATTAAAGGGAAGGGGAAAAAATTGTTACATTGCCTCCTCCACAGGCCCGTGTCCTGCAAACTAAGTAGAACCAAGAGTCAGCAATTGAGTTCCTTTCTTTCCCAACAATTTTGTTTTTCCCCCAGTAAGAAAAACTCCCTCAGGTAGAGAGAATATTGGCAGCAAGAATACAGGTAAGTTTAAAGCTGTCTGCATATGTATATTTGATGTTAGAGTTGCCTCTGTTTTGAAATGCACAGATTCAAAATTGGAAAACATTTCTATTCCCTCTCCTTTCCCAAATACAAGCTAAATTCCTACTGGAATTTAAAACTGGAGTTTAAAATGACATTTCCTACTTCCACTGTTCACATGTACATGGATTTCAACAGACAGTCTCACAACCCTGGAAACCCTCGATAACCAGCAATGGTACCCAAATTTGTACATTTACCACGCAGACGCTACAGCTCCTCCTGTCAAACCATCTCACTGAAGAAGTTTCAGTCATTCCTGTCAAATCAAATTTGGACTGGAAGCTACCAAGCAGTGCCAAACTGTGATAACATTAAGGTATTAACTTACAGGTAATGCAGTCACTGATACCACTCTTCAAGCATTAACAAGCAAAGCCATCAAACTAGTCTCCAAAACCACAGCTATAGCTTTTACAGATTGATAAATTTAAAAAGCTGAAAGAACAATTATTTGTGCCTTTGGTTATTACGTCTCTCCTATATTGATTTTCTTTTGATTTAGGAATTTTTTGAGCTGAAAAATCTACAAGGATCTCACACATGCTGACGTTTCTAGTAGCTGTAATAAAACCATGATTTTTCCAGTTACAGTGTTGTGAAAAAATAAATATACTTGCCCTATTTTGTTTGGTTTTAAAAAGCTTAGCTACTATAAGAGATCAAAGCAACTCAGAAGCATCAGTCTATATTTTGATTTCTTGCCACTTACACAATTCCTATAAAGAGAAGATGATGATACACATGAAGATAAAGGCCAGCATGAAAAAAAGCAGACTTACTAGCTCAAAACTATTTGAAAATTCACTCTATTACATGTTATGAGAAAGCACTTGTAAGGAACAGGCTGAAGGACTGAAGGATTGACTTTCTGAACTCTTCATTGCTCAAACAATTTTTATTTCTTTCAGATAATCTGAAAAGCGCTGTCTGCAAAGTTTGTTTCTCTTGCATACCATTAAAAAAGTATAATCTAATTTTTATGCTATCTTGCCCTCCATGTGGAAGGCCTTAACACTCGCAGTAGATGTACGTTACACTAAAACAACTGTAGAGTTTTTTGGTTTAGCCAAAAGCAACAAAACCAAACACTGGCATAACCTTTTATATCTTTTCTATTATTACTAATCACGACAAAAACAACAACACAAAATTTCTTTTTTAGCCAATCAGCACAAGTATAAAGACACCAAGCAAAGGGCCAAGTAACAACAAAACCAGTGCATTTCTTGCAGGATATCATCTACACAAGCCTTATTAAAATTCTTAAAAATATGCTGCTGTAAGTACTTTAAAAGACAATAAGCCATTATATTTGCACCAAAAATCACAAAACAAACAATTTTCTCTGCTGTACTTGGAAAATACAAGCAGTAGGACCAGCACCATTTTCTCTGAAGAAATATTTCAGGTCACATAGACGTGTCTTCTACAATGGCAAGAAAAGAAGA